TTGTGTTTATTATAATATGGACACTATAATAAATAAATTGTTATTATAAAACACCTATGAAATGTAATATAAACAAAAACAATAAAACATAATAAATGGCTTACAACTTAATAATCTTGGTTTATATATTAATATTTACTGCACTGAACAGAACTGGCCAACAAGTAAGTCTAAAAATAAATTATGTTTTTTTTTTAAGAAATGTAACATTGTCCAACCCCCAAACACACACACACACACACACACACACACACACACACACACACACACACACACACACACACACACACCAATCATCATAGTTGACATCCCAATATCCCCCACTCCCATTTCAGTGAGTTCAATTATAATGAATGATACAGTATATCAAATATATAACGCCACGTTATTGTCAGTAACAGTACTGAGGTTGCAATTACTTGTTACTGGAAAAAGTAAATATGTTAGTAGTAATGTTGATTATTTATAACACTGTTATTCCTATCAATGTACATTTGTGATATGAAAATAAATTCTATTTCACAGTTTGAAATGTCCCTAAATACCAAAGAAACTTGCATCACAATCAATAGGTTTTTGAATTACAAATCATGCAACCTTTTGAGCATTTTCATGCATACAAGTGCAGCATATGTCTGCAGTGTGTGAATTCATATCACTTGCCAAACATACTAAATATATGTGACTCTTCATGTTTCAGATGAACTCTGGTGCTATCAGGACACAAAAAAGAGAAATAACATGGGCTGCCTCAACACACACACATACAAACACACACATACAAACACACACACACACACACACACACACACACACACACACACTCACACACTCACACACTCACACACTCACACACTCACAAAATTTACGGGAAATCACAGACTTTCTAAGAATTTGAATCAAACCATTTCAACATACAGTATTCCCTGAATGAAGTATCAGGATTCAAGAATTTCCTATGGGGTGTGTGTGTGTGTGTGTGTGCAGTTGCAGAGTGTGTTAATAATAAAAAAAACTATTAGCAGGGGATTCAGATGAACAAAAGGCAGCTGTATAAGGGTGTTTTCAGTGGGGTGTAGGTCACAGGTTTTAAAAAGTAAACACATACCGCACACACACATGCACTACGCATGGGATGATAACCGTTTTCAAGGTGCACCATGGTTTGGAAAAGTCAAGGTTTTAAAACCATCAAAATGTTGTTATATTGTTCCTTTATGTTATTACTATACTACAGTATATGTATGTTTATATATATATATATATATATATTCTTGTGTTTTTACAACTATTTTATTTAGTTTTTTTAGGGCAACAGTATCTCCAGCTGAAAAGGACCCTCCACATCAAAAGCTTCTGTTCCAAAATATTTTAAATGTTGCTTACAATAAAATGTATTGTGTTCAAAGGGGAAAATGTTTTTTTTTTACCCAGACATTTAAAAAGAATTTTTTTCAGAGGAGTAATCACAATACCACGAAACTGATACCACGTGATATTTTTATCTAAGCTTATCATGCAAACAAAATCTTATACATGCCTGACATACACACAGACACACACAAAACATATATATTAAGTAGTCAAAAGTAAAAGATATTTGATATGCAATGCTTTGATAATATCAAATTTGAGCATGTTTTGAACTGATATTTCTCTCCAGGTATTCAAAATAAATGCATATAAAATGTACAAAAAATGTGCATTTGTGATATCTATGCAAAAATGTTTTTTTCAATGCAAAAAGAAAGAGAACGTTGTATGTACCGAAGAAATTTTAATGTATATATATTATTAATCCATATGAAGATATGCACTAAAAGTGCATCTACAGTACCCATAAAAATAAGTTTGCTTTCTAATAAAAATTCAGATAAAATGCTCTACGTAATTGTCTATGCATACAAATGAGTATTGTGATTAAATAATATATTCCACTGTTTGAGCTCACATGTCTGGAATGAATGTTGGGCGTGCTCAGTCCAGCCTTTATGGAGCAATGAAATCCCCACTGTGCAGAATAACATTAGCATGTTGTCATGGTGTGCATGAAACAAATACAGGCAGTTTTATGATAAGCGAGTTCCCCCTACGTGTCTCTGTCCTTCTCCAGACCTCCATACGAAGGCTCCAAAACATCTTCGGATGAAGCATCTGGTTTGTTTGATGTTTTACATAACAAATGAGATGAAGGTGGTGTGACAGCATACTGAGTGTCGGAAAGACACACACACTCACATATGCTTCCTGTAAAAACAACAGCCGCCCACAAAACCAGAGTGACTCCCATAAAACCAGTGAGGCTTTTGTACTCGTAATGGTGAGTCAAAGAAATGGTGTATGATTGAGAATATACAGTATGTGCAAGATTTAAGCTGTAATTAAAAGGCTTTGGTGTTAATGAATACAGACATTCCCTGCTGGTCATGTGATCTATCAATACACCTATTAATCAAGCTCTTACTAGACTTTCTAGAAACATGCAGGTGTGTTGAGGCAAGTTGAAGCTAAAATCTGCAGGGCACCAGCCCTCCAGGGCTGAGTTTGAGAACCCCTGGCATAATAGCAGATTCAAAAACAAGACTAACATCCTATGCTAATGAGGGAGAGTTCATCACTAACGGGCAGGGCTTTCCTCCGTACAGAGAGAATGTCAACCAAAGTGCCTCTGCAGACTGTTTAGAATTTTTACCTTATGAAGCTGATTAAAATCACAAACTGTTGCCACAATATTGTGTTTAAACTCCTTAAAATTGATTTTTGTATGATAGGTCCTCTTTACACAGGAAAGATGCACATAATTTGTCTTATTTGAAGATGAGGGCGTCATGGAGAACTGTTATTTTTATATTGAAAATCATTGCTGCTGGTTTTTTTATTTTTTATTTTTGTAATAACGAAAAATCATTATCCATTAAAATATTTAGCAAAACAGAAATATTTCTACTTTCCAATTAAACCTCTGTATTTGGAAATCCTTCAGAAACTATTTTAATATGCAGATTTGTTGCTCAAAAACATTTTTAATAAAAATCTGTTGAATACTGATAACAATGTGTTCAATGCTTCAACAACGCTTCGTAATATGTATGTGGAAAATGCACATCAATTATTAAAATTAAAAATTTTTAATAAGATTATAAATGTCAATTTTGTGTTAAAATATTTCTATAACAAGTGATGGGCAGTATTTAAGATATTAAATATAAAATAGTATTTTGTCATTTGTATTTGATTAGGGTTTATGAAAATGGTTGAATATTTTGTGTCAAAATACTTCAGTGTCTTGTATTTTTGTATTTTTAAAATACTGTAAAATACTTTGTAAGAAGTCTACATCAAGACATCATATAAATGCACCCTTTGATTAGTCTTTGGGTGTTACTGACTCTTTCATTTGAAGAAGAATTTAATAAAGAAAGAGTATAATCTACAAATATTAGTAAGTTTGGACAGATTGCTGATGCCACATGTTTGTCGTTAAAACAAACAATATAAAAATAAGTCCAACAGTGGTGATTCCTTCAATACTTCATTGGCTGTTTCAAATGCCAGTAGTTGATCAGTAGGTCTACTGTATAATTAATAAGAGAAAAGATGTAAGCCTTAAAATGCCACAACATATAAACACAAATATTTAATAAACAAAAACTCCAAATACAGTTTTTATATTGAATATTGAATAGTCCAATAGCAAAAAAGAAATTTCTGAAAAACTCTGCAAACAAAAAAAAAAAAATTAACTCTTTATCTAACACAATTTTAAAATATTAAGAGGTTGAATAATCATTGTACAGAGATGATGGCAATTTTACTGGCCTTTTTAAAATACAAAATACAGTATTTTATTTTAGTACATTTTGTGGCTGCTGTTATTTGTACTTTATTTTTATACACCTAAAATTAAGGTGTTTATTATTTTATTTTAAAATGCATTTCAATGTAGTTTTGCCCAACCCTGCCTATAACATTTGTATAAAGTATTAATTTCTCAAGAAAAAAAAAGGTCTTACTGACCTCAAACCATTGTAAATGCATAGCATAGGTTATCTAGGAAAGATTCATCTTATGCTGTATACAGTGTAAAAAACATTATTTTGTTACCATTTTATTTATTTATATTGTTCTCTTGGTTTGTTTGGAGTCTGAACCAAAAAATATGTAATATGTAATTTCTAATGTACATTTAAATCCAAGTCCTAAAGCTAAACATACAAAAAAGGCTTTGATTTGCCTTGTTACAGACCCATTTTTGACATCATGTCCAAAATATATGTATTTGGCCAATTTTGGCCTCTCTGTTTTTTTTAACTAGCCCTTATAAGTCAGGATTAAATCCATAACCACTCATCAGTAGCTAAGAACATGACAATTATTTAAAATAAAAAGCACCAAGAGTGGAAACTTATCAACAAAAACAACAGCAGCAACTGTAACTAGACAAATGTCGTGCAGGAATCAAACTGTCTAATGCTCAGGGGTAAGAATAAACGTGCTAAACTCTATTAAGAAGCTCACATTGTCTGAACCCCAAGATCCCCTAGCAACCGCTATCTGTGTTCACAACATCATCAAGCTGAAAACAGCCGGTGCTAGGAGAAATGGTCTAGCACATGCATAAGCACACATGCACACACCAGTACACTGACAGACAAAACAGGAAACCCCAGTAATCCAAGGGTTTGGATTAAGTTGAATAATCCTTAATGAAATCAGATCGCAAACAGATGAAACGAAGTCACCTTAACAAACTTTCTTTCTCTACGGTCACACAAATATGCACCTCACCCTTTCCATTCAGACATAATGACTGAGTTTGTTGACGCAAAATGCTGCACAATAAAACATTGAGACGTTTTCATCACATCTTTTTTGTGTTCAGGTTCTGGAAGTTGCCTTTCAAGACTCCTTTAGTGTAAAAGCCATTATGTAACTGTCTGAAAACCGTCGCATAATAATAGTCCGTATGAATGGAGTGTGTGTAGAGACCGATGTGTTACCTTTGCAAACAAAGCACTTGATGTGGAAGTGTTTGTTCTGCACCCGGAGCACCTCTCCTTTGCAGGGTTTGCCACAGTTTTGACAGGGGACCGGGCCACTCTGCCGCTGGCCCTTCTGCTGCTCCAGGGGACTGTGGACAGCCTGCTGGTGAAACGCTGTGGAGACACAGTGATAGACAACATTTGGTTTTTAATATTCCCAGATAGCGCACAAAAACTGAGAGGTATAGAATTACTCACAAATCTGTGAACTAACTTAACCACACCTGCAGTTATCTCGATATTAGCTACATGTCTAAAAAAAAATTGTTTGGTGAATATTATTGAAACTGGCATAGTCTATACTACAGAGAAATGGTAATAGTAGTCTGCTTGTACAATATTTAAAAATTTGACACTAACTACTTTCTTTTTCTTCTTATTTTTTTTAATATTTGTATTATTTTGTTATTTTTTTGCATGTTACTACAAAAATCACAATTTGAAACTGTCTTTAATACAGTTTTTCTCAACCATGTTCCTGGAGGACCACCAGCTCTGCACATTTTCTATAGGTGCGTCCCAAATCACATACTTATGCACTATTCTACACCATTCTGTAGTATAAATAGTGTAAGTAGTGCATTCACCCAAAAAAAAAAAAAACTCTGAAAACAATAATTGCACTTTAATTACGTGGACGATGCACTTACAGTATTCAATTCAGTATTCATTAATATGAAGTGTTGAATGTTGGACACTTCACGCACTCAACAACCACTGTTTTGTACACTTAGCGGATGTGGGGAAGCTATCGGGCAAACATGTTGGGTTACTTCATTAATTTTGGAAAGTGAAAGCAAAATTTTTCTACGAGAGTGATTATACCACCTCCCGATGATAAATGCGATTATTCTCATAGCAGGTATTATTTGGTGCTTTGGTCATTTCTTTCACTAATTTGGCAATCATAAAATGTCATCAGGGAAACGGTTTGAATTTCCGCTAAATAAAAAAATTTTCCATTTGGGACAGCGCTACATTCATATACTATGCTGTTCAGTGTAGTTCATTCATATATTATGCTGTTTCGCATAAGTGCAAAGTGTATAGTGTGCCATTTGGGACGCAGCTCATGTCTCCTTAACCAAACACACCTGATTCAGAAAATCAGCTCGTTAGCAGAGACCAAAAGGCCTGTAATAGGTGTGACAGACAAAGGAGACATCCAAAACACGCAGTGTTGGTTCAGGAATATGATTGAAAAACACTGCTCTATTACACACACACACACACATATTTTTTTTTTTGTGAATTGTGGGTACATTACATAGGTCACTATTGTTTTTATTCTGTACAAACTGTATTTTCTATTGCCCTAAGCCCAGTTCTGTAGAGCTTTTTAATGCATTAGCCAATTAAAGCCAATGGGTTTGGATTACCAGTGGTCACTGAATACTTTTTTAAAGTTATTGCAACTTTTTATCAGAAGTTTTACTTTTTTCTCAGAATTGCATGAAACAATCTTAAAATTCAGACTTTCCCCTTCGTAAATTTAAAATTGCAAGTTATAAAGACTGAATTGCAAGATGTAAATATGCAATCCTGAGAAATAAGTCAGAATTGCATGACATAAACACAATTAAACAAAATCTAAATTTTTTGCAATAATTGTTTATATTTTTTATTCAGTGGCAGAAATGAGCTTTCTTATGTATGATGACAAAAAAATTGTTGCTGTACCAACTACAAAAATGATGATCAGAGAAACCCTACAAACATATAATGTGCTCGTAAAAAATAAAAATGTAAAAGGTACACAAACATCGTTATTATCCTTATTTATTCATATAAAATAATATAATTTATAACATCACTGAATCAACATAAATACTTTGATTGATACTAACAATCCGAGCTGATCCATTTAGTTTCCTATAATGCCGCAGCCAGACTAGAGTTTGGGTATGCAAAACTCAGACAGCACTGCGAAAAGAGGCGGGATTTTGTTGAAGTTGTTTAGACATAAAAAAGTGAGTGATTGGTTTATATTTTACATTTCTGTACGGAGAGGTCATGTTTTCATCTTGGATTTGATCTCACACAGCCACATGATGTGAATTCGCAGATCAGAGTACACCAAGCTTGAACTTTCCAGCGCAGCGAACTGCAAAACTTGTCACACGAGCTTGCATTTCCGGTCTGAGGGGAGAAAAGTGCTGTGTGACCATGGCTTTACTCTAAAACTCAATACAATGACATGTATGGTTTAAAATAAATAGAAAACACCTGTAAAAAAATCAACATGGAAAATTAGCTTTATAGTACACCAGGCCCTAATTTTACAAACTTTTCTTAGAGTGTGTGGGGCTCTACATTGAACTGTTGAACTTTTGAAACATTTTTAAGTTTCTGTTTGTGCCCGTCTGCCATCCAATATTCACACATACTCCATTACAAAAGGCGTGTAAACTCAAACAAACACTTCATAATACAGTCTAACACACAGCTAAAGAAAGACCTTCAACCTCTTGTTTTGAAAGGGTGTGTAGAAAAACTGGTTTTGTCGGACATCCCGTTCTATTCTATGGTGGGATTTTCACAACAGGTGAAGTCTGAAGAATAAATAGCTATAGAAATGTGTTTTTACTTGTTCACAGAAGCAAAGATCCTGTAATTGTCCCTCATTTGATGATACATTTTTAAAGGCTTCTGGTTTCAGCTCGCACAGATTTGCTGCATGAGCCTTTAACGCTAATTAGATAGAAGTACTTTGGGAGGAAACTACAGCAATCATTGAATGACTGTGTGTGTGTGTGTATGTGTGTGTGTGCATGTGTGTGTGTTTGACTGCATTTGCCATATCATGAGGAAAGACAACCCATGTGCCAAGTCATAATAGTAGTCACAGTATGAAGTACTGTATATAACACTCCTGTTAATTGCAACTAATTTAACTTTTGTAATGTGATATTTTAAAGAAAATAAAAATGTAGAGCGACCCTATCAACCACTGGATTTTGAAATTTATTTAGTGTGCTCTAAATTATACCGAATATGACTTTGCTAAAAAAAAAGTCTAGCAATCTGTCTGACATTATGCAATCAACCCGGGCTCATTGTGGAAACGTAGCCCTGCGGACGTTTCTGCGGACCGCGATTTACGTCCCGGGAGGTACGTATTCGAGGGTTTTTTGTGTTTTAGCGGATCCGCGAGAGGCTGCTTTTTCGCGTTCGCGCCCGCGCCGTTCTCGGGCGAATAGCCGCCAGATCGGAGAAAAAAAAAGAAAAAGAAAAAGCAAAAGCCCCCGTCTTCGATTTCGACCGTGTTTTTGGATCCCGCCACGTTCTCGCCCTTTTTTTCCGGATTCTATTTTTCGTTATTTTTTCCTGATTTCCGGAACCCGCCATTCCCCGGACTCGATCCCGGTCGTCGTCCACCACGGCCGGCTCCGGCTCGTCCTCCTCCTCCAGGGCCTCTGCTCCGTCGACGCAACGCTGTGAGCTAGGCGGACAAACTGATTGCGTCGGGAAAGCCCTCCACTCAGAGGCGTTTCCAGAATGAGCTTGGGTTGTATGCAATACCCTTCAGAGCCTCTCAGTAATGGTACCAGAATAATTAGTTAAAATGGGAAGCTTTAATACGTTGTATGTTTTATTATACTACATAAATTATCATCAACAGAACCTTAAATTATATTGATAAAACTATGCTGCTTCTTCCTCAGGTGATCACAACCAGAAGAACCAAAAGAGGTCAACTGTGGCATTATAAAAACTCATCTGTTTTTGTGACGCATTAAGCTTGTTTCTCATAAGCAATTGATTCAGTGCTCTTGTTTCAGCTTCAGGCCCAATCCCAATTCTACCCCTTAGCCCTTACCCTTACCCCTACCCCTCGTTTTGCACGTGCACGCCAAGGGGTAGGGGTGTCCCAATTCTCTTTAGCTTGAAGTCGTAGGGCTAAGGGGAAGGGGTGAATAGCCCTTCGAAAGAAGATTTTTCAGAACCACACTCGAAACCAGGGGGTAAGAAAATTTCCCAGAAAACACCTGCCACAAAAGCAATATTGCTGAACCCGGAAGTAATGAGATCCACAAATAAGTATTTTTGTCATTATTATGAATTTTTACGACAAACAAACATGTGTTTTAATACATTCATAACCCCGTTCGTGTTTTACCATCATGCTTTTTACCGTACCGGAGGTACGTATGGCTGCGTTTTCTTTTTTAATCGAGCGAACGCTGCAGCGGTGTGACGCCGCTCCGCTCCTCCTCTTCGCGCTCGCCAGGTTGACGGCTTGCCTCCGTGTGGAGGGCTTTCCCGCCTCAACCAGTTTGTCTGCTTAGCTCGCAGCGTTACGTCAGCGGAGTATAGGCCCGGAGGGAGAAGGAGCTGGCCACGGCGACGACCGGGATCGATTCCAGGGAAGAGCGGTTCTAGAAATCAGGTAAGATGAAAAACAGAATCCTCTAGCGCATTCGCGAATACAAAAACTGCTCGAATACGTACCTCCCGGGACATATTTCGCGGTCTCCAGAAAGTCCGCGGGGCTACGTTTCCACAATGAGCCCAGGGTTGGTAAATACACAATACAGTTAAAGCAGAGTACAGTCAAACATCTTATTGCCACTTTAGATCGTTATGATAACATACTATATGCCTTTAGTGATTTCCTGAAGATAAATACCAATAAAAAACAAAACTGAAATAACTACAGCAGTCGCGATCGTCTGATCTTACATGAACCATCAGATCACGAGGGCATATGATGATGTGTGCAGGTGATGTAGTGTTGTCCCAATTCTTAGGGGTAAATTTTCAAGCCCTTCCCCTTAAACCTCGGTTGTAAGGGCCAAGGGGAAGGGGAAGGGTAGGGGTACAAAAATAGAATTGGCATTGGGCCTTACAGTGCTACATTCTAACATGATTTTAAGGTTTTAATACTTTAGCACATCCAGAAACATTATTTCTGTAGTATATTTTTGCCATGATTCCACACAGTGTCATCAAACTATGCCTTTGTTTGTTGTGAATACATGCCCTCTAGTGGTGAAAATTACATACTGTGCTTCTAAATTTGCGCCGCATTTATTCCTGGTTTAATATCAGACCATTTTTGTCACAACTGATTTGACATCGTATGTTGATTAATAATTGACAATGGGTCTTAA